GATAAAACGGGGCGCAAACAGGGGCATATATATTGTGGACTAGAATTGATGATCGCTTGTGGCAACGTGGTGCTTCTTCAACAGTTTAGGAAAAAACCAACTCTTTTGGCTGCGAATATCGTCGCGTGTACAAACCATTGGATCTCGATTCATCTCGTCCACATTTTTACATGCGTAGTTCCGTTTCTTAATTCTCTCTCTCCCTCGAAGGACTCGCACATAAATACACCCCACGCCCCCACCGTCGTGTAGAATTTGGCGAAGATGGTTTTATCTGTACTGCTGAGATTCATATACCCGCCGCCGTCGAATCTGTTTGTGACGGCGATGTCTGTGATAAGTTTAGTATCGCTGGGGAATGCAGGAATCATGGAATTGAAAGGGAAGCACATGCAGTATTCGAAATTATGGAATTTCGGCGTAGATCAGAAAATTCCTGCCGATAAAAAGGCCAAAATCTCCAGTAAAACTGGCATGATTATAGCGTATACCCCTGCATTTCTTGCCGGCGTTACCTCTTTCGTCCTCGTACCGGTTGGGGATTGTAGGTTTGATTTGCTTCGTTCTGCCATTACCATTCATTTCTTCAAGAGGATCTTTGAGGTACTCTTGCGACCTTATTTTTAAATTTTTAGGATATTTATATATCTTGTGAGTATTTTTTACATTTGTCTGATTTTATTTTAAATGAATGTGTAGATAATTGTAGGAGTCGTAACTCGTAACCATGTCATTTTGCTAACTATTTGGCACTGTGGGCCAGTGGCTTAGTTAAGTAAGATAATGCTTGTTTGAAATAGATTTTTGATAATTCATTTTGTAAAAGGTGAAAATTTTGGAGAATGTACGATTAAAAGTTGAAAAAATTATAAATCAGTGTAAAATTATTTTGTTGGGGGAATATTTAAAAATGAAATTTGAAAGACAAAATGATATTAAAGAAATATGTAGCAAACATGGTTCATATATATATATATATATTGAGAATTAGTTAAAGCGGTGAATTAAATGAAAGCTAGGAATGAAATTATTTTGAAATATGTTCTTCTTCGAAAATTCAATTCAGGGATCAACATTTTTTCGAATGAGTATGTTGAAAATTGGGTCATGGGTCGTCACCCATATGACATAATACTTGCAAGATGTTAAAAATCTTTTAACATCCCCCGGCCTCCCATAACTCTTGATAACCACTCTATATATGTTGTAATGAGTGAGGAGGAGAATTATGGATAATTCGTATGTAAAAATACACCAAAAATGAAAAAGACTCGTGACCATAGTTTCGACTAAAAAACTCACAAAACTTGACATTTATATTAAGGATAATGGACTCATTCCATTGTGATTGAGTTATGGATCATTGGAGTGTTCAAAATACAAATTTGGAGTGAAAATTGCAAGTGACTCAATCACATAAAGATACAGAAAAGTTCTTCTTATAAACTGAAAAGTTATGGCAAGCCGCAAATTCTTTCCGTTTAGATTTGTATTTTTATCATACTTTTCCACTCTCCATACTCTTACACTCTCCCCCACACTCTCACTCGCACTTATGATACCAATGCAAAAGAAAAAATAGTCCAACATATACACACACAGGTGTCTTAAATAAGAATAACGATTCTATATGCATCTTAAGTGGCTAGCGCCTCCGTTTGGGAAAGATTTATAAACGGTTGAATTTGTATATAATGATTCTAATTCCATCTTAATTCATATTATTTCTTTTGCACACACCAGCATGCACATATATATATGTAAGTCCATTCTTGTT